TGGGGGAGGGAAACATAAGGGGTGGGGAGGGCGGACAGGGTGGCGGATCGGAGGGAAACGGGGAAGGGGAGAGGGAGGGCGGGCGGAGGGTCGGGGGGGGGGGGAGGGCGCAAGGGAGAGGACGGCGAGAGGAGGGAGGAGGGTGGAGGGGGAAGGGGGAGGGGGGGCGGTGGCTGGGAGTGCAGGGCGGGAGGGTGGAGGGTTGGAGGGAAGGGTGGAGGAGGGATAGGAGGACACAGGGGGGGGGATGGAATGGGAGGGGGTGGAGGCCTGGATGGGGGGGGGCAGAGGTTGAAGGGGTGGAGTGTTGGAGGCCGCGGCTGGCGTCCTCGGGGGCGAAGGCGTAGCAGGCGCGGCTGAGCTCGGGGCTCCCGATCTGCCACCGCAGGAGCTCCTCGCGCCCAGGAACCAGCCAGGGCGAAGGAAAAAGAACAGGAGGGCGAAGGACATAAAAACGAGGAATCGGATCGGAGCTCTGCGAACAAGGCTCCGCATGAGAGCCACAGCCGGGACGTGCAATCACATTCGAAAGGCCGCAGGCCAAGCAGGGGGAGAAGGAGGAGGAGGAGGAGGAGGAGGGGGAGGAGGTAACGTCTCCTGCTGCTGCTCCTCCTCTTTCTTCTCCTCCTCCTCCTCCTCCTCCTCCTCCTCCCTTTCCATCCCTGTTCCTTATGCAAAACTCATCCCTTCTCGCAACAAACCCTGTAATGTCGGTAGGGCGGGCCAAGCGATTTGGCTGACATTTCTCATACGTGTGGCCAAGGCGCGTGAAGTTTGCAATCGTTACAGAGACGGAAAACGATTCCGCTTCAAAATGAGGCTCTCGCCATGTTCGTCTTCAAAGTTTGCAGCAGCCTCGAAGATGGAGGGTGGCGGGTCTTCAAAATGTGGTTATCGCCTCCACGCCACGCTCATTCGATCTAAACGCTTGCAACAGTTTTAAAGGTGGAGGGCGGCGGGTCTTCAAGATGAGGCTCTCGCTTTGGCGGCGCGGCCAGTCGTCTTAGAAGTCTGGAGCAGCTTGAAGGATTCGTATGGCTGCTGTCCCAAGAGTGGTGTCCTTGCATGATTTAGGATTGCCAGGACGCAACATTCATGCTGATCCGCGGCGCTGAAGTCCCAGATATGGTCTTCTGACACGATTGATGATTGACAGAACGCAGCAGTCATGCTGATTCGAGTCATTGACGTCCCAAGAACGGTTGGGACGATTGAGGATTCCCAGACTTTTGTCTTCAACGGGGCACATCCCGCAACGAAAATACATGTCTGTGGTGACCTATGGTGAGGGAAGCTGGAGGGAGGGTGTATTGCAACATCGTTGGCGCGTCTTGGATTTACAATGGTCCTCTTCCTTCTTCTCCTCCTCCCCTTCTCTCATCTCCCTCCTTCACCTTCCAGTTCCCTTATCAATAGCTCCTCTCTGGCGCACCGCCACACATGTCCCTCTCTGACGCACCGCCACACATGTCCGAAGGCGGGCCCGGGCGTTCCGATTGAGACTTCCTCGCAACTTACTATCCCAATGCTTAACAAATCCGACAGTTACTCTGGAAATGAGTCTGGTCTTTTTCAAGATATGGTTCTCGCCGTTAAACGCCGGGCACTCGCTTGCAAAGCTGGCACCACTTACGCGGAGCGACATCCCTCAAACATATCACAACGAGCGCATCGTTGTGCAACCGCTATATTGATGGAGGATGGCTCCTTTTCGAGATTGGGCTCTCGTCAGAATTTTACTCGAATTCACTCCCCACTAACTTGAGCAGACGCACTAGTTGCACGGATGGAGGGCGGCTCATTTTCCAGGTGGGGCTCTCGCGTTTGACTTCCTCACGCGCAGTTGGGATATGCTAAGTTGTGTGGAGGTTCCACGGGTGCGGGACGGTTTCTTTTCCCAGCGGGGTTCTCGCTGGACTCCTCGTAAAAGTGTATTGAAAACCTTGTCGCGTTCATTCTGATTCGGTGGAAAGGTGCAAGGCACATCCTTTTCAAAATAAGGCTTTCGCGTGCATGGCAGGCCCGGAAGCTGTTCGTCTAGGAAACACTTCTTGCAGTGACAAGGAAGGCCTGAACTTCACCTCTGAGGAGGGAACATGGGCCGGGAGGGTGTATTGGAGCATCCTTGATACATCTTCGGTTTACTTTGGTCCAGCTCCTCATCTTCCTTTTCCTCCTCCTCCTCCTTCTCTTCCGCCTCTTCCGCCTCCCCTTTCCCTAATCAACCCGCCACTGTGTCTCTGGGCACGGGGTGGGCATGTACTCGTCATTTCCCTCGTCCTCTAAGCTGCAATCCTCACTCCCGAGGAGTCTCGTGGGGGCCCTGGCCCCAAGTTGCCACATGTTCTTGGGCGGCTTCTCGCGTGACCTCTTCGGAGCCAAGAGGGCCCCAAGACGGACCGAGGCTCCCAAGAGGGCCCCAAGAGGTCCCCAAAGAGGTCCGAGAGGGAGCCAGGTTCAGGCTGAAAGTGACGAGCTAGAGCCCCTCCAGCCTGCGAGCCGCGACACTTGACCCGGGCCGAAGGAAAACCAGCCTCTGATGGCCGCGCCCAGCCGCCTTCGCGGACGGGCGCGCGCAAGGCGGGGGCGCTGCAGCGCGGAGAGGAGAAGGAGGAAGGAGGTGGAAGAGAACGAGGACGAGGACGAGGAAAAGGAGAAAGGGGAAGGAGGAGGACGAGGACGAGGAGGGAGCCAGGAGGGCCCCAAAGAGGTCCAAGATGTCTCCAAAGAGGCCCAGAAGGGCCCCAAGACGGCCCAAGAGGCGCCCACGACGGCCCCAAGATGGTCCCAAGAGGGTCTCTGGTCGCCAGGTGATCGATCCCAAATACGCCCGAACTGCCCCAGCACGGCCCAAGAGGCCCCCAAGACGCCCGACGAGAGCCCCAATATTCTCCCCCAACAGGCCCAAGAAGCAAACATCAGTGATGATCCTAAGGTTTCTGAGCGTAGCGTTCTCGCCTTTTCGGCGCTCCGCCGATCCAAGACAAGACAGCCCAAGAGAGGCCCCCAAAGGCGCCCAAGACGAGGGCGCCAGGACGGGCCCCAAGGGGCGTCCGACCAGGAGCCGAAAGCTCGAGCTCTGCGCCCCGACAGGGCACCAGGAGGCCCCAAGAGGCCCCCTAGAGACCCCAATGCGCTCCTAGCATGCCCGCAAGAAGCCCCAAGAGGCCCCAGGAGGCCCCGAAGGTATCCCTCGAGGCCCCAAAACAGCTCACAGGGCACCAGGAGGCCCCAAGAGGCCCCCTAGAGACCCCAATGAGCCCCCAGCATGCCCGCAAGAGGCCCCAAGAGGCCCCGAAGGCATCCCTCGAGGCCCCCAAAACAGCTCTCAAGAGGCCTCAAAACGGCATCCAAGAAGCCCTGGAGAGGCCTCCCGCGACACCCCAGAGGACACTCAAAAGACCGATGGCCCACAACCCAAGCACGGTGGCGGGATGTGCCGAAGACAATAACTTCTCCCTGTCGCACCCCCAAACGTGTCGGTAGGGCTGGGCGTTTCGCCAGAGACTTCCTCACCATTTGCGATCCAGAAGCTTCAAATTTGCAACAGCTTCGCAGACGGAGGGCGGGTCGCTTTCAACATGTGGCCCTCACCCTCACGCCACCCACATATCTCTTGAAAGTTTGCAACAGCTTCAAACTCCTTACCAAAATGTGGTTCACGCCTTAGCGCCGCGCACATTCGTGGTACAAGTTTGCAACAGTTTTCAGGATGTCTCGCAGCTCCTTTTTTTCAAAATGTGGTTATCATCTCAACGCGGCGCACTTTCGTCGCAAATGAATGCATCCGTTTCTCAGATGGCGGGCAGCTCCTTTTCAGCATGTGGTTCTCGCCTTGGCGCCGCGCACATTCGTCTTAGAAGTGTACAGCAATTACACGGTTTCGCATGGTCGAAGTCCCAGGGATTGCGTTTTGGCGCGATTTCAGATTGTCGAGACGCAACAGACAATGCGACTCGCGATTCTGAGCTCCCAGGACTGGTGCAATGGAACGATTTCGGGTTGGCAAGACGCAACGGTCACGTTGACCTGCGGCATTGAAATCCCAAAAATAATCTTCTGACACTCAGACGGGTGTCGTCGAACCGGCAACTTCCCGCAACGAAGCTATATTCTTATACGGACCTATGAAGCGGGAGCTTGGAGGGAGGGTTTATAGCAACATCGTTGATGCCTCTTGGATTTACACTGGTCCTCCTCCTCCTCCTCCTCCTCCTCTTCCTCTTCCTCTTCCTCGTCCTCCTCTTCCTCCTCCTCCGCTTCCGCCTCATCCTCCTCGTCCTCCTCGTCCTCCTCGTCCTCCTCGTCCTCCTCCTCCTCCTCCTCCTCCTCCTCCTCCTACTCCTCTTCTTCTTCCTCCTCCTCCTCCTCCTCCTCCTAATCCTCCTCCTCATCCTTCTCCTTCTCCTCCTCTCCCTCCTCCTCGATCCTCCTCATCCGCGCCCAGAGGGCAGGGGAGGGAGGGCGCGGGCGCGCGGGCGCGGGCGCAAGCGCGGGCGCGAACGCGTGCTCGTACGCTGACGCGCGCCAACGCTGGCGCGGGCCCCAGGGATCTGCGGGCGCGATTTGGGCGGGGTGGAAGGGCAGAGGGGAGGGCGGTTTCGAAGAGGCGGGGGGGGGGGGGGCGGCGCGGCTTCTAACCCCCGCCCTGCGCTCGAGGCCACGGGGAGGCTGCCCGCAGGGCGGCGGGGGGGCTCCCGAACAGCCCTCCTGCCCTCTTGCGTAGAGGGCCGCGTCCCTTCTCCCTCCCCCCCCCCCCTGCCAGGAAAGGGGGGAGGGATGGAGGCGACCCCCGCCAAGGGGGGAGGGAGGTCCTCCAGTCTTCCTGCCCCGCCTCCCCGTGCACAGCATCGGCCCCAGGGGCCCCCTGGGCTGATGCGCCGCCAGAGGCAACCATGACCCAGGGCGATTCCAGCATCAGGAGACCCACGATCGAAAGGACGATCGAGCCAATACGGATGCTGTCGTGTTCTTGGTGCGCCACGCGCAGGTTGCGTTCGCCCTCCAGGGGCTCCTCAGCCTGAGTAGCACTGCGCGGAGGCGTCGGACCAAGGCTACTCGCATCCTGCGAGGAACAGGGCGTGCGGATGGCCTCTGGAGCGCACCTCACAAGGCCCACGAGGGCCCCCTGGGGGGCCCGAAAGGCGCGGATGGCTGGGGGGTGACAGCGTTGTGCCAGCATCACTCCTGGTGGCCTCCAGAGCCGAGGGCGGGGGGGGAGAATTGGCAATGAGGAAACGAGTCCTGAGGGAAACGGATCATGAACCCCGGGGCCTTCCCCCATGACCAGCTCGTCATCCTGAGTCGTTTTCTGATGGTCCTGGGGCGGGCTCCGGGAGCCGAAAAAATAATCGCGGAAAGCCTGAGGGCCCAGTTCTCTCTGGACCCGTCTCCTTCATGGCGGGGAGAGGCCGCCGACGTGGCGGGCCACGCCCTGTGCCGGGTTCGGCTGCCAGGCTCTGGCGGAGCGCCGCTCGGACGTCAGGGGAGCTGCGGCGGCGTGCCAGGCGCTCGGACACGCCACCCCGCCCTCGCATGAGGCCGAAGACGGCGGGGTACCGCACGCGCACCGAGCTTTTGGATGCAGGCTGCGTGCCCGATCTACGGTGGCTTGCTGCTGAAACAAAGCCGATCAGCGGCGGACCACCATGGGCACCGTAACCACGTCGGAGCGCCGGAAGCGGCACCACAACCCATCGCGCCCGGCTGCAGCATCCAGGGCACCGCCCGCACTCATCACGCGCGCGCTCCGTGTGATCATCGACAGCTGGCGGCGCGCAGGCAGGGGGGCTCGGCGGGGGGGATGAGCCCTGCCCCGCCCAAGACGCTGAGGAACCCATATCCAGGCAATCCTCACTGACTCCCACAAGCCACTCCTACCCAGGCGATGCTCTTGAGCCACCACCCTCGGGATCCATGGCACCTCCTCCAGCCCAGCCCCAGCGGACCCCCGGGCATGGGCTGGAGAGCCGCGCGGCGGGTGCACGTGGCAGCCCCGCGGTGAGCTGGGTGCTGCACGGGGGCGGTGCTACGGCGGAGCAGAGCGCGGGCGCCCCACGGGCACGCGGGGGGACCGGCCCCCGCCGTGCCCGGGGCGGGTGCCCGCCGGCGTCGTGCCCAGGCCCCGCAAGACGGCCCACTGCGGGTCCACCCAGCGCGCCGCCTCTGCCACCGCCCCCGCCAGGCTGCCACGCTCGCCCAGCAGCCAGGCGCGCCGCTCGGGGGGGAGCTGGGCTCGCCAGCCGCCGCGCCAAGTGCGCGCCCACCGTTGGCCCGGGCGCCGCCCTGCGGTGGGGCCGGCGGCGCCGGCGTGTGGGCGCTCTCCTCCTCCTCCTCCTCCTCCTCCTCCTCCTCCTCCTCCTCCTCCTCCTCCTCCTCCTCCTCCTCCTCCTCCTCCTCCTCCTCCTCCTCCTCCTCCTCCTCCAGGGGGGAGGGTGAGGTAAACGAGGAGGGGGGGGAGATAGAGGATCAAGCAAGGCCATCAACAGAAATAGGATGTGCGCCAGGGAGCCCCGCGCCGTTCCAGGAGCTCCGCGCGGACCTCCGAATGCCTTTGCTTGAGGCGCTCCTGCCTGTCCGAGAAAGGGAGGGAAGTCTGGGCCAGGAAGGGGGGGGGGGTCAGGAGGAGGGGTGGGTGGGTGGGAAGGAGAGGCGTGGGACCGGGAGGGGCTGCGAGCAAGCCGCTTCCTGCTGCTCCGACCAGGGCGACGACCAGCCCGAGAAGACCCCACGATGGCCAGGCCGGGCCCGGGCCCTCCCGCCGTCTGGGGCCGACCCCGCTGGCCCGAACCATCTGCTGGCCCGAGTCACCCGCTGGCCATTGAGGAGCGCTGACCTTGCCGAGCCCACCGGCTCCAACGAGGGAGTGGGCGGAGCCCTCGTCCCTCGAGCAGGCACGCGGCGCCGCACGGGAGTCCGGGGCCGACCCCGCTGGTCCGAATCAGCTGTGGGCCTTTCGCGCGCTCTCCCCGTGCCGAGCCCACGGGCTCCAACGAACGAGGCGGGCCGCCCCCGCTCGCCCGAACCACCCGCTGGCCTTTCAGGCGCGCTGCCCTTGCCGAGCCGACCGGCCCCAATGAGGCGGCGGAGTCCTCGTTCCAGAACAGGCACACGGCGTCGCACAGGAGGCCGAGGCCTGAGGAGCCGTGAATCACGAGCTGGCGCTCCCCGCCCCTACCCCTGCCACTGACCCTGCGCGAACGAGCTGAAGTCGATAACTCAGGGCGCCTCCACGCGGCGTCATGAGGATCATTCTTCGCATTGTCATTGTATGCTACCGTTGATAAAACTGCGAATGAGCTCATTACTCTTCATATAGGTATGATTATTCCTAGAATGATGTCTAGTATTATTATCAACATTACTGTCATGATTATTCGTAGTATCACCCCCCGCTATTATTCTGCCCACTTGCGCCCCTGCCCTTGTGTCCCCCTCGAGGGACATGGAACGCACTGCGTACGGGCAGGGGGGAGAAGGGGTGGAAGAGAGCGAAGCGGCGAGGGCGAAGGACGGGGGCCTGGCCAGGGAGAGTGTGATGGGAGGGGGAGGGGAAGGAGAGGAGGGAAGGAGGGAGAGGAGCGAGATGGGGGGAGAGGAGGGGTATGAGGAGGCGGAGAAGGACGAAGGGGCGGAGAAGCAGGAGAATAAGGAGGAAGAGGGAAGAGGAGGAAGGAGAGGAGGGAGGGAGAGAGAATACGGGGCGGAAAGCAGATTGCAAACGATGGTGTGTGCTTCGCAAATCCCGAAGGCCCTTCTCTGACGCGGCGACCCACTGGTAGCATGGGCGGCCGCCCATCTTGGAAGGCGCCTCGAAGTAGGCGCCGGAAAGCGCGTCCTCCCGGAGGAGGGGGAGGAGAAGGAAGAGGAGGAGGAGGAGGAGAATAATAGGTAGGAGAAAGAGGAGGACGAGGAGGAGGAGGAAGAGGAGGAGGAGGAGGAGAAAGGGAAGGAGGAAGAGGAGGAGGGAGAAGGAGGGGGAGGAGGGGGAGGGGGAAGGAGGAGGAGGAGGGGATGAGGAGGAGGAGAGGAGGAACGGAGGGAGGCCGCGGCCAACGAAGTCCGTTCTCACGAGCTGCATATTGATAGTCTGGTCCGCATAAGAGCTTGATCTGAGTAAGCAACGGCACGACATGATTGAGGAGAACGGCGCGCTCAATACCTTTTAAGAAGTGGCGGAGGAGGAGGCGGAAGAGGAGGAGGAGGAGGAGGAGGATAATGAGGATGAGGGCAAGGATGAGGACGAAGATGATGAGGAGGAAGAGGAGGAGCCCACGCCTCAAGGGGAGTCCCCATCCCAGCCGCGCCGCTGCACTAAGCAGCACGGGGCGCGCCGCCCGCGGCCCGCGCGGGGCCAGTCCTCAGCCCCTCCTCCGAGGAGACGAGCTGATCGCCGATGTCGTCGTGGTGGAAGCCGGCGATGTCGGTCGACGAGCCAGGGACGGCAGCGCCGTCATGAAGAAAAGCACCATCTTCTGGAACATGGCCAGCAGGACGGTCGACGCCGACGCTGTCCACGGTGGGCACTTCTCCAGCATTTGCTAGAACCAGAGCAGAAAGCTCCGCATGTTGGTCATCAGGATCTCCTGTGTCCTCAGGAGGAGCAGCAGATGCCATAACCTCAGACTGGGCCGCAGCGAAGTCGTTGTCCTCATCCTCTTCTGCTTCCAAGAAAAGAGCCAGTACGTCCTCACCGTCCTCATTCAAACTCGAGGCGCCACTGCCAGACGAAGCCGCAACAGCAGGCGGCGAGAAAGAGGCGGCAGCAGCATCATCAGGAGGTACATCATCACCATGAACAGCACTGCCAGGGGGCTGGGCATCCGCAGCGAAAGCCTCATCATGTTGTCCGAAACCATGGGGGGCCACTGCCGGCAGCGGTGACACATCCGAAGGGTTGGTAGGCCAGGAGACGCGAACTCGATTGGTGAGTCCATTAACCCGCGGGCGAGTAGCGCTTAAACCTTGTGTCCCCAGTCGAGAGGGTTGAGCAGAGCCTGACCCAGATCGGTTGTCACTTACGCCGGCCGGCCCCTGCATCTCGAGGTGAAGACCGCCGCCTTCGTCACCGCCCAGTACACTGCCAGGGCTCTGAAGCATCCAGATCACCAGGCACCTCTGCTCGTCCGATAAATCGAAGTGCTCGTTCAGGTAGTCCACCACGTGCGCCATTTGTCGGTCTGAGAGCAGCTCTGGAGACCCCGAGGCCAATCGAGCGGCGAACAAGGCATCACGCACCGCAGCACTCCAACGTCGAAGACTATTGAGAGGGTATCTGCACTCGCTGTAGCTGAAGCCGACGAGGTAGCCGCCTCCATGGGCCCCGAGGGGGGGCGTCCATCGCAGGGCCTGCCATTGTCCGTCTCGCAGCACCACCCACTGATCCATCTGGATAGATAACCCCAAGCCCATGCGCCGCCATCGTCTCGTTCAAGCCGTCGTCGGAGCAGCTGGAAGAGGTGGTCTCGTGCGGCTCTTCAGGGGAGAGAGGAGTAGCGGGTGGAGGCCTAGAGGGTGATGCCGTAGGGTCAGACGGCCCATCTGTGTCCACCCTCGAACGACGCACGGCAGCCTGCACTTGAGCTTCGAACTCCTCGTCAGTTAAGATCGGCCCAAAATGATGTGAACATTCATCGGCCGTCATCTCTGTGTCATCGCCAGCAGAAGCCTCCATGTGCTCCATGTCCATGTCTGTGGGATCAGGGTAACCAACGGTGTCGACGCTGCGGTTGTCCTCGTCAGGCCGGCACACGGCATCGCTGTCGACGCAGTCGCCCCCCACTGGCACAAGGTGCGGCAGAAGGCGCGTGAGCGGGTTGAGCGACAACGGAGGCTCAGACGGGAAAACCTGTCGCATCCGCAGTATGTCAGCCTGTTCTGCTTCATTCATACGCGTCAAGTCTGCAGCCTAGTCCCGTTGCCGAAGGTGTGCGAGAGCACGTTGCCGACGGGCGCGGAGACGCCGATGATCATGGATGGGCCACGGTTGACGGAGGTGCAGGCGCGCCTGTTCCCTGGGAGTGGCTGACGAGTACCAGCCACTCATACAAAGTTCGATCGCCGTATTCCAGCGCTCCGAAGTGCAGGTCACTGCGCCCAGGGCCCCGCGCGAAGAGGAACTGAAGAGAGACCGAAAGTCACTATAGCGTAATACGTCTGCCACGTAGGGAACACACCACTCCATCCATTGCTGGAAGTCAGACCCAGGAAAAGAAACATACAGCGATGGCAACCACTGCTCTGCCCATCGAGAAATAGCATCCAGCAGCAGCAGACGACGCCGATGTCTTTGATCACCTTGCACTCCCTGTGGAACATGTCGCGTCGGCGGGTCCTGGGCAAACAGCAGGTCCTGCTCAAGGGGGACACCACAAGACGGTGGAAGCCACGCAGCAAACGAGCGAGTAGACCTGACAGGGCACGATCCCTCATTCACTGCTTCAGACGAACCAGGATGCACGGCAAGGTAAACTTGATGATGAGGCCAACACCGTATGTGCATGTGTTCGTCCGCAGCTTGCCTCAATGCCAACAACCGCGTTGAATCGGCCGTGTCCCATGTTGTCGAGAAGTGATGGTGCAGCCGAGTCCTCCCCACCTTCGAACTATGCCACGCAGCATGGCTCATGCTGGAGCCGAGGGTGCACCTCTCATGCGCCGTCCCTACAGGGGTGCCCACATAAAGCCCAGTATTGAAACACGCGGCAGGAGAACTCTGTACCCCAGTGCATCCAGTCGTCGAAATCGCTGCAGCCGTTGGGCTCCAAGAAGAGCGAGGGGACCCAGTTCCGCGCCCAAGACTCCAGCAGAGCAGCACATTGTGCCAATCGCCGCAGCATGACAGGGCCAACTCCAGTCGGCGACATTGCAGAAAACCTGACCTCACCAATAGTATCAGGGTAACGCACACGATGCGGTAGAGTGTCGTGAAGGAAACGGCGTCCGACTGGCAGCATATCGAGAAGATCGACCCACCGTGGATGCTCGAACGATGGTAATTCGAGACAAACACCAGGCAAAGGGCTGGATGGCTCCGGTGGGCGGCGCGTGATCCTGGCGCGCCCAGCCAAAGGCGAAGCCAGCGCACGTGTCCGCACTGCGCCTCTCAGCGCAGTGAGCAGCAGCTCGGGAGGGACGTGGTGCAGGTGCCGAAGACCACGATAAGCGATAGTGGCAAGATGCGTGTTCATCAAATCCTCGTCGAAGCAGCCGCGGAGACCCCAACGATCAAGAACGTTCGAGGGTAAGTAACAAAGTCCTCCTGACTTTACCATGGCGAGACCCCATGCAAGCCCAATAGTGTGCCAAGTCGTCTCGCTCGCCACAGCACCCAAACAGGCACGGCTTGACACCAGACGCAGGCGTTATGCGAGACGAGGTTAACCAACCGCCACAGAACGCACGGATAATGCTGGTGGCCCAGGCAACGGGGTATGTCGTCATCTTCTTGCGTAGGGCGTCCCAGTCTAGCGCCTCAATCTCGTTGCCGAGTTGCGGAAACCATTCAGTCCACCGTTGGTGAGGGTGGTGACCAAAGGCGATGTGCAAGCGGATTGCAACGGCTAATGTGCGCCAAAATACTCAGTTGATACTGCCTGGTACGCAATCCGCTGGGCGCGCTTTTTGATTGAGTCATCCCCGACCAAAGCATGGCGAACGGCAGCAGCACCTGACGACGCTGAGACCTTGCAAGCGCCCGACAGAAACTCGACGAAAGACGGTAATTGCCAGAAAGAGGGCGAAAGCCCGCCACAAAGATCAGCCAAGACGCGCTCAGTAATCCACCTCGACGACGCCCTTTTCAGGTATGCCAGATACGATGCATGTTCAGGATGTGTAACAATCCAAGATCGGATGAGCGCAGACTTCGCAGATATGGCCAAGCAGCGAAGACGAGGCCCTCCCCAAGCGCCGACAGCGCCGAGCGCATGATAGTCGACCTGCCTCAAGGCTCCGCCAGGGAAGCGCATCAGCTTCACAAGCACATGCATGTCTTGACTCTTCAGCTTCTCGGGGAGCGGAAGGAATTGTGCCACATAGCCCATGATAGGTAAGCATCTCGTAGTGTAGCTGATGCCGTTTAAGCTCGCAGGCGCCGCAGAGGCAGCGAGGGCGCGGACTCGAGCACGGTACTTATCCCATGGAGCCGACCACGACTGAAGGAGCGATGCCGCTGGCCCCATCCGTATCCCCAGGTACAAAAGAGCGTCCTCAACTTTGAAGGAAGACCAGTCCGCTAGCTGTTGTTGGAGGAAGACATGCACACGCTGCCGAAGCTAAGCCGAGAATGGACCTGCCAGTGGGACAATCACACACTTAGCTGGTTTGAGCTTCAAGCTGGCCAGCTTGGCTGCCACCGCCATCGCGCGCGATAAGAATTTCAGATCGACCATCTCGAAGAGCACACCCCCGATGTCATCATCACACGCTCGAAAGACCTCGCTGTCGAAGCTCGATCCCCTGCCTGATGTCTTCCAAAATCGGCGAAGTCGCTGCCGCGAACAAGCTCCCAGATAAGGCGCAGCCTTGAATGATGCCGCACCAGATACGGGAGAGGGCCTTAGTGACCCCTGCAGCTCTGCCCAAGGCCGTGACAATCGCATCGAGAGAGCGCATCGCCTGTAGTAGAGCTGTCGGAAGCTGACGATGTTCAAGAATGATGAAGAGGTAACTCTGGCTGAGGCTGGGGAACGCCTGCCCTAGCTCCAGAGCCACAAGCGGCGGCGTCCTCTCGAGCGGGTTGGGCATCAGCGAGGCGGCTCTGGCTACCACGTCGAGCTCAAGAATGTTTGGGGTGAACTGTCGGCCCGAGATAAAACCGCACTGCGCTGCGGAGGTGGAGCTCTGTAGTACGGGGGCGAAGGCGGCGTTGAGGATGGCCGAGGTAATTGTCATGTCCGTGTTGCGTAGCCCAAGCGCGCGCACTGTGCCAGGGGACCTGTTGACGCCTCTGTCGTCATCGTCACCAGCTTGACATCCTTTAGGAAGAAAAGCTTGAAGAGTGTCGCCGCACTGTGCGAATAACCGTTGCCCGTCCATCATCCATACACAGGCGAGCCAGAGGACCTTCGCGCCCATCTCGCGGGCGGCCCATGCAGCGCGCGGCAGCCCGTCGACGCCGGGAGAGGATCGCGACGGCGCAAGTTTGACAAGCACACGCTGAAGCATCTCGAGAGACGGAGGGGCAAGCCCATCAAACGCACAGGGGTGCGCAAATCGTTCAGCATAGCGCCTTGTGCGTGCAGGAAAAACTTGGGGGGCGGCAGATATTGGCGCCCAATAGCGCGTGAGCGCGTCCAGCTTCTCGAAGGGGTCGGTGTAGGTGATGCCGTCGACCTCGATGGAGCGCAATACCAGCTTCTTCGCGAACGAATCCCGAGGCCGAACTTTTCGTTGCACCGCTGCGATCGTACCAGCTGGTGGACGCTGGCGCCCTTCCCCGTGAACTGTATCGTGCTGTAGTCGCTCCATTTCCAGCTCAGCCGATCGCAGCTGAATAGTGCCCACCCAAGCTTGGAAAGCTGAATAGTCCGTGATGATGACCTGGGTGTCTTGTACCTGCAAACACGATCGCGCAACTTCAGAGGCCTGGCATAACTTCTGAGCAGGGGTGGTGTTCTGTCTCCAGACACACCGAGCGGCTTGACGAACAAAAATCACCCGGGCCTCCAGGGAGTCACTCTCGTTGACCAAGATACTCTGCATCGTGTCGAACGCCGCAGCTTGAACCAAGTCCTTGTAACGTAACAATTGCATCGGTGGCGACATGCCCAAGAAAAACTCCCCATCGTTGCCAAGAAGCACGCTTAGCCGCCGCCGAAACTCAGGCCGTTTGAAGATATGCGAAGGGACGGGCTTACAGTAGCAGCCCTCCAGATCTCGATGTCGAATATGAACCCGAATCGCCGCGTGGTCTGAAAGCTCCTTGACGCGCGTCTCCTCAGGCGTGGAGACGACCGACACGGAGTGTTGGAGCTGGCACGACATCCACTTCGGTTCAGAAAGCCAGAGCCAATCGATCTGCGACATGGTCTTCGCGCCCTGGCAGTAGTGGGCCGGATCCTCAGACGCTATCTCTAACATTCGATCAAACACCGAAGTCCAGAGCCTGGCATGAGAGCGAGAGTCATTCGTAACCTGTCTTGATTTTGCTGCCGTCGGTTGCGCCAAGTGGAGCGCGTCGTGGGCCGCGAAGTTGAGGTCGCCGCATACGACAACTAACCGAGAACTGTGATTGAGCGATGCCCAATTCAAATCATCCTGAATAGCTCTGACCACTTTTTGAACTTCCGCCACGGAGAGCGCATGATTGTGAATATTGTAGTGACGAATCTCAGCGCACGTGCCAGCCAAAATTGTCCGAAGCACTCTGCCCCTGATGAGAGGCGCGGGCGAAGAGGCTCGAGCTGAAGGCGAAGAAAACGGCGCAATAGTAGTGGCGCCACCTCGACCACGACCTGTCTCACCATCACCATCATGAACATATTCGAAAGAACCAGAGACCGTAGCTGAAGGTGCGACTCTGCGCATGAAAAGTTCCAGCTCGCCCTGGGTCTGGTGAACCTCTTGGATGGCGACGACAGAAGACGAAATGCCGATCAGGTCCAGGTAGGAGGCCTTGCTCATCGAGCGCGCGCCACGAAATTGCAGCAGCGCGCGAACATTCCACGACACGAACGTGAGCTCCTGACATCGCGGCGACGGGCCGCCATCAACCTTGTGGTAGAAGATGTCATCGTACTTGCTAAAGAGACCATTCTGGCTCCGCGTCGGGCTTGGGGCTGTGGCCTATCGACTTGTTGATGCCAGCACGCGTCCAGCCACGGGAGGTGAGCGCGGCATCGTGGAAGTAGCAGAGCGTGGGGTCACGCCCAGGCTGAGGCTCGAATCACAGCACAGGGTTCCGCTTTTCAGATAGCCAACCATTCTGCCGATCGAAGAAGAACTTGCACTGGAGGTGCTCCTCGCGGAGCACGTTCGTGACCTTCTTGCCGGCGATCTCGAGCTTGATCTGGTACGGCGACTTGTCTGGCCCGATGTGCAACTGCGTTGAGCCACCAGACGCAGCTGGCACGGGGAAGCGCGTCCACTGGCCCTTGCCAAGGCGTTGTGCTGCGAGGGCCTGGGACACGCGCTTGCAAGCGAGGCCAACAGCTCCTGTGAACTGAATGACGAATATGCGGTCCTCTTCGTCTCCTTCGATCTTGAAGCCATCGATCCTGGCGTCCGGGAGCCACTTCTCGACTGAAGCAACCACATCCTTCTTACAAACCATCGTGGGCGCACCGGCATTGAGGATGGTGCCGTCGACGTTTCGCTGGAAGCCAATGCCAGCAGGCTTGGGAGGCTGCGGGACTTTGTTGGCCATGGCAAGCTCCTTTCGCATTTCCTCCAGAGGGTTCTGCATGTCGGCCAACTGCTTGGCGAGGGTCTCGAAGCGGGCGTCCACGTCGTTGATCTTGGCAGCCACCGTGTCCAACTGGCGCTGGATGCGCTGCTCGAGATCGTTGAGTTCCAGACGCAGTTGAGCTTCCATATCATTCTTGCAGTTCCCAGGGGCGGCCTTGATCGCGTTCTCGAGCGTGCGGACAGCCGCCATGACTGGGTCCACTGCCTTGCCAGCTGTGTCGGCCGCGGAGGTAGACGCAATGGTGGCCAGGTCATCCTTGAGGGTCTTGAACTCCAGCGGGAGGCGCTTGCCAAGCTGTTCGGCAATGAGGCCGTTGATGTGGGCACCCCAGTCGTCGTCGGCCATGCCATATGCATCATCTTCTGCGTCTGAGACGTTACGGCTCGACCTCGATCGATCATCGTCCACCCGACCGCCAGCAGGAACAGTATCATCAGCACCCCGCGCGACTGCTGGACGCCCCGCTGCAGGGGTCTTCTTCTTGCGCTTGGGAGCACTGCCATTCGGGGGCATGCGCGGGCCGCGCGCGCCGAAGGCAAAATGGCTGCACGCGTTGCTGGATCTGGCCGCGGCCCAGCGGTGCCCCGTCTGCCTGGAGGCTGAACAGCCCCCCCAGGTGGACATCTTGAGCCAAAATGGCTATGGGAGGAAGAGGAGGAGGAGGAGGAGGAGGAGGAGGAGGTGGAGGAGGTGGAGGAGGAGGAGGAGGAGAAACGCTTCCTCGGATTTTTTGAACTCAACAATCCACCTCGATTCGGCCTTCCACCACGAACTCCATGAGCAACGCGCCGCCCACGAGGATGAGCACGAGGGCAGCGAAGATGAATGGCAAGGCCCACGCCAACGTCGTACCGAGGGTGAATACGACGAGGCCGATGCCGCCGAAAAAATGGCATACAAACCAAATTGATCACACCAAACGGCCAGAACCAGACCAGCGCGTAGAAGCCCTCGAGCGGGAGCCACCTACAATACCAGGAAGCCCGTGGCCACCTACAGCAACAGAAAGCTCCCCGAACAAGGGAAAACAAACTGCAGGACGAGATGAACCGCTCCAGGTATGGAATGGGGAATTTCGCATGTAAATCAAACCTGCACGAAGACATCACCAAAAGACGAGACAACACTGACACGATCGAGGCCCGACATCTCGCTCCCACCGTCGTCGATTATGGAGCGGCTACCATGCAACCTTTAGAACAGCAGGCCTTCTCTAGGGGCAAGTGGTTGTCCCGTCGGTGTCGACGAGCTGCTGGGCACAACTGGCTCCGCATCGGCCACGGAGCCTCCCACGCCCAAAGAACCAGCGGCTCCCCGAGCAGCAGCAAGCAGGACACCACCACGGACACCCGCAGCGTCGGACTGCGGCTCCCAGGCCGTGCCACAAGAACCGAAGAGCTTGCCAGACACGTGCTTCACGACGGGCACCCCGCTCGCGACACCGCCGAACTGCTGCTCCTCGACCTCCTGGCCTTCGGTCTCGGCTTGCGCGGGGAGCGTGGCCGCGAGGCGCCAGCCCGCCTCCAAGCCATCCCCGAAGGGCTTGGCCTGTGCCGGGAGCCAGCGCCTCGCCGCCTGAGACGACCTGCGCCGCCTCCTCGCCCAGCACGGGCCTGGCCGCACACCCAGCCTCTCGACGGGGCAGCAGCGCAGGCGCCGAGCCGTGGGCCAGCTGCTGCCCAGGCGGTCCCATCGCCCGCGGCTGCGGCGAAACCACCAGCTGGCGCGAGAGCCGCATGCCAGGCCGCATTTCGCCGCCTGCGTGTGGCTCCTGGCAGTGCCGCGCCGGCCGACAGGAGCTTCAGCGCGGGCTGCGCCGCCAGCTCCCTGTCTTGCCAGGCGCCTGTTTCGCCGACGCAAGCACGTGCGCGCAGCGCAGCATCGAGAGCATCCCGAAGGCGCCGACGAGCAGCGCGGCGAGCCGCCGTCGGGCTGAGGGCGACGATGCCGGCGGCACGCAAAGTGCTGGGCTACCGCGTACTGGGGTAGCCCCCCCGCAGCCATCCAAGGCGTGCCCGCCGCCGCCGCCGCCGTCGCCGAGCCGCCGACCATGGGCGAAAAAGCAGCGGAGAAAGCTGGGAACACGGCTTGAGCCCAAATGGCTACGGAGCGCTTCCTCCAGGAGGAGGAGGAGGAGGAGGAGGAGGAGAAGGAGATGGAGGAGAGGGCGGAGGAGGATCCAAGTAAAACCAGGATGCGTCAGCGATGCTGCAGACAACCTCCTCCTTCTCATCCTCCTCCTATTATTATCAATTTCCTCATCCTCATCATCATCATCCCCATCATCACCACCACCACATCCTCATCACCACTACCACCACCACCACCACCACCACCACCACCACCATCGTCATCATCAAAGCCCTCACCACCACCACCACCACCACCACCACCACCACCACCACCACCACCACCACCACCACCACCACCGTCATCACCAAAGCCCTCCCGTCCCAAGCCAAGCCTCCCTCCTCGGACGCTCTTAGAAGGCATCCTCCGCACCGCAGGAAGAGGCGCGCCGCTGGAACACGGCCGCGCCCCCAGCCTGCCATGCAGGCGGCAGCCCACCTCCGAAGACCGCGACAGAGCGCCCCGACAGCTGCAAAGGTCACGAGGCGGCAAGACGAAAGCCCCCAAAGGACCGCGCCCCAAAGGACCGCGCCAGAGCGCCCCAAAGGACCGCGCCCAAAAGGACCGCGACAGAGCGCCCCAACAGCAGCAAAGGTCACGAGGCGGCAAGACGAAGGCCCCAGAGGACCGCGCCCCAGAGAGCCGCGGCATCCGAAACGGGACAACCACAGGACAGTCACAAGACAACCACAGGACAACAACGCGACAACCGCAGGACAACCACGGACAAACCACGGAACACCCACGCGGATCAAGCACAGATAAGCACGGGACAGGCACAAGGCAAGACCACAGTAATCACATGACGGCCACGGGACGGTCAGAGGACAGAAGCGCTCCAGGACCGCGACAGAGGTGAAGAGGCGGCAAGACGAAGCCAGGACGAGGATAAAATCAGGTGAGGATAAATCGAGAATCTCTGAGATCCAGCGGCTCTGGAAGATGTATCGGGCGCCGCGGCCTTCTCAGAGCGTTCCGGAACGCTCTGAGAGCGTTCCAGAACGCTCTTGGACGGAGTGCTCCTCGTCCTAGCCCCGTCCGAGGCGGGACAGGGGTCAAGGACATGGGGTGAGAGTGCGGCCATGTGTACCTTATTGATTTTTCCTGGCCATCCTTTGGTGTCGGGTCCTCGTTTTGAAGAGACGGCGCCCCGCGTCCGCACTCCTCCTCCTCCTTCTCTTCCTCTCCTCTCCCCCTCTCCTCCCTCCTCCCGCCCCTGCCTCGGCCCTCCGCATGTCCATGTCGGCACACCCCATCACACGTTTCGTGCCCCCAGGGGGCGCTCCACCTAAGACCCCAGTGGCTGCGTTCGCATGCAGTTCCGCCGTCTTTGTCGGCACACCCCTCTCACCTGTCCGTGGCTCCAGAGGGAAGCTCCACCGAAGGCCCCAGTGGCTGCGTTCGCACGCAGTTCCGCCTTCTTTTTCGGCACGCCCCTCTCACCTGCTCGTGACCTCAAACTTACGCAGGACGAAGGATGTTCCTCTTGAGGCGCCAGCGGCGACAAGCCGCCAGAGCCAGGCACGCGGCGTCTGGACAAGATGCTTGCAGCAGCCAGGGGTGAGGAGAGATGTGCTCATGCTGGATGCGGCCCGCGTGCGGGGAGGGTCGATGGGGCCCGTGAAACAACGCGCGAGCTGTCTCTTGCAGTTCGTAACCAAACTCCTCTCACGCAGAATCTGAACCGCGGCGTGCTTGGGTGCCGCGGATCCGATTTCTGCCCGCCCCCTGGCTTCATGCAGCTGCATAGACTTCAATCAGGGTGCAGATCGGATCCGCGCAGAAAAACATGACGGAAATCAGATCCACAACATCCGAAACTGGGTCCGCGCGGACGGAAACTGGACCCGCCGCAGCACAAATCCAAGCCACATTCGGATCCGCACTAGCCTCATTGGATCGGCCGAAGGTTATCGCATGGGCGCCGACGCGAAAGTTGAAGGCATCATGCTCGGGCCCAACAGTAAAACACCTTCGTCCTGGGGATGGGCGTTTTGGCACTCGTACTTGCTTAGCGTTTTGGCACTCGGACTCGCTTGTTGTCGCAGAGCCGACATGCCGCATCTCCCCTCCATCGCCCGCGACGAACGTTCAGGAGTTCCCATTCGAGACGTCCTCGCAAAAGTCCGTGCCCAGCGCGGTACCCCACTGTGGGGGCACGCATTACGCGCGACGATGACGCCTACGCCGTGCGCGAGGAGCTGCGCCGCCGCATGACAAAGAGCAGAGGCCGCCCGTTGGGCCAGGAGACGCAGGCCGAAAACGCACTGACGCAGGACGAGCGATTCTCCTCTTGAGGCGCCAGCGGCGACAAACCGCCAGACGCGCGGCGTCTGGACAAGATGCTTGCAGCAGCCGAGGGCGAGGAGAGATGTGCTCATGCTGGATGCGACTAGCGTGCAGGGAGGGCTTATGAGGACCGCGAATCAACGCGCGACCTGTCTGCGAAAATTCGTGACCAAACCCGCTTCCCCAATAGAATCTTAACAGCGGCATGGGTGGGTGCCGCGGATCCGATTTTTGTCCGTCCCCTGGCGTACTTGAAAATAATAAATCTACAACAAGGGATGCATCGGATCCGCGTGAAACATAGGAAAGAACATCATATCCACAACGTCCGGAATCGGATCCGCGCGGACGTAGATCGGATCCACCGAATCACAAATCCAAGCCAAATTCGAATCCTCACCAGGTTAATTGGATCCGCTAAGGGTTATCTCATGCGCGCCGGCGCAAGAGCTGAAGGTATCATGCCTGCGGCCAACCAGCCAACGGCAGAACACTTTCGTCTTTTTTACACGCAACAGTGGCAAGGAAGGATGAACATCCGATGACATCCACCAGAGACCACGGTCGCCAGTCGTAGAAAGTATGTCCTGCGAGCGTGGCCGAGACTCGGTGCGGAAATTCGGGCGGTTGTTCGCCTGAACGAGAGGAGGAAAGGTGGAAGATGAAGGAACGGGAAGAGGAGGACGAGGAAAAAGCAAGGGCCGCGTCGCCGCCAACACTTCGACCGTCCCATGCGCCGACTGCTTTAACGACCGGCCCCTGCCAGACGTAAGTTAAGCACTGGCCAAAGAAGGGGGCGCAGCAGGAGGGAGGAGGAGCAGAGAGAGGCGCACGACCCCAATCAGTGCAGCGAGTGGAAGAGTGCGGTGCCGACCTGAGGCTAGAACCAAGAGGAGAGAGAGAGAGAGAGAGAGAGAGCGAGCGAGAGAGAGAGAGGGAGGAAGAACAATAAAGCATAACACAACTGGCCGCGACCTGTTCACAGCACGAGGCTCCACAAGTCGGAAGACCAACTACAGCACAGGGCGTAGGAATGCAAGGAGTGCAGTACCGCACCTACCCCAGTCACTAAGGTCCTTGGTGTGGTTATGCAGCGCAGGGCCCCATGGCCTCGCAGACGGGCACGCCCGGAGCGGAACCTAGCACGTGCGGGCCGACACGCGGAAGCCAGACGAGACGATAACCCTGAGCACTCAGGAGATCACGTTCGTCCTGGGGATGTAGGGATCTCTACTGGAGGCCCCAATGGCTGCGTTCGCATGTGGTTCCGCCTTCCACTTCGGCACACCCCTCAAACGCTGTGTGGCCCCAGACCCAGACGGAGCTCCACTGAAGGCCCCAATGGCAGGGTTCGCATGCGGCTCCTCTACCCGTCTCGGCACACCCCTCACACGCATCGTGGCCTCATAGGGGGCTCCACCGAAGGCCCCAGTGGCAGGGTTCGCGTGCGCTTCTACCCTCGATGTTGGCACACCCCTCACACGCTTCGTGACCTCACAGGGAGCTCCACCGAAGGCTCCAGTGGTTGCGTTCGCATGCGGTTCCACCTTCTATTTCGGCACACCCCTCACACGCTTCGTGGCCCCATGGGGAGCTCCGCCGAAGGCCCCAGTGGCTGCGTTCACATGCGGTTCCGCCCCCCAATTCGGCACACCCCTCACAGGCTTCGTGGCATCATATGGGGGCTCCACTGAACGCTCCAGTGGCAAGGTTCGCAGGCGCTTCCACCACCCTATCAGCGCACCCCTCACACGTTTCGTGCCCCCATAGGGAGCTCCACCGAAGGCCACAGTGGCAGGGTTCGCACGCGGTTTCACCTTCCATTTCGGCGCACCCCTCACACGCTTCGTGGCCCCAAAGGGGGCTCCATCGAAGGCCGCGGTGACAAGGTTCGCATGCGGTTCCACCCACACTTCGACACATTCCTCACACGTTTCGTGGCACCATGTGGGGGCTCCACCCAGGGCCCCAGTGGCATGGTTCGCATGCGGTGTCACCCCCATCGCGGCACACCTCTCACACGTTCCGCGGTCCAAAAGTGAGCTTCGCCGAAAACGATACTCACAACTGCGGCATTCACAACATATGGGTGGGTGCTTCGGCAAGAGAACTTACAAATAATCGTTATTGTCCAGACCAAACATGTAGCCGACATTGAGGCGAGAAAACGGCCATGAATGCCGCAGTGTATTTCCTGACCACCCCGTGGTGATGGGTCCTGGTTTTGAAGAGACAACACACCGCGTCCTCCTCTCCTCCTCTCCTCTCCTCTCCTCTCCTCTCCTCTCCTCTCCTCTCCCCTCGTCTCCTCTCCTCTCCTCTCCTCTCCTCTCCTCTCCTCCTCCCTCCTTCCTCCTCCATCTTCCCATCCCTGCCTCTGCCCTCCGCATGCCGCATGTCCATTTCGGCACACCTCTCACACGCTTCGCGACCCCATAGGGAGGAGCTTCACCGAAGGCCACAGTGGCAGGGTTTGCATGCGGTTCCACCCCGATTTCGGCGCACCCCTCACACGCTTCGTGGCACCATACGGAGCTCCACCGAAGACCCCAGTGGCAGGGTTCGCATGCGGTTCCACTTGCATTTCGGCACGCCCATCACACGTCTCGCGGCCCCATGGGGAGCTATAGTAATGGTCCCAGTGACAGGGTTCGCATGCGGTTCCACCTTCT